GGGGGGGGAATTGTTTTTGCAGCCCAGTGTGACTCATTATTTGTGAGCTTGGTGTCGTTTTTACATGCTCTGTAGGATCATCACCTTGGTGATGCAAAACTACAGCAGGCTCAAGCCACAGAGATCTCTGAGCTTGCTGCTAGGCTAGATCCATGCCTAAGAACTGAATTGCCTTCTTGAGTGACCTGCATCACCTTTATTGCATCCCAGGCATCCAGTTTATGGGCACTCTGTTATAATCAGTCTATTTCAGAGTTGTGTTGTGATAGGGAAGTTGCTGTTTATTTAAATATAAGGATGAGGTAAGTCTCACAAGTCTCTATCTGTGCATCACATTTCCTGTTTAACAGCAACGTGGGTTTAATTTCGCAGGAGGTGGGTTGGGCATGTCAGCATTTCATTTTGTGTGTTTCACTGTACAGTACATTGGCAGTCTGAGTGTTTCTTGCCATGAACTGAATTAAATGCCACTGTCATTGTTCCCATAGACACCAAGATCCTAACATTGGAACCAAAGTTACCACGTGTTTCTGGGTTACATCTTGATCATTCTTAATCTGGTCACGCCAAATGCTTGTCAGGACTCGTGACAGTGGGGCTTGCCACTGTCCCTTATTTTATATTTTATGTAAAGATGTTTGAGCAGGCTACATAGCATTGCATTGAACAGCGGAGGGTAGAAACATGCACCTCCACTGTATGTGCTGTATGTGTTCCACATAAAGCCAGAGCTCAATATACTCAATTTCATATACAGTGTAACACAGTGGATTTTATTGAGCGGTTCAGATGATTAACTGCTCAAGGGGCTGGAAATATGAAAAATTGCTCCAATTATGCAATCATAAATTAAACTTAAACAGTGAGCTTTTTCAGGTACTTGCACGTCAATATATTGCCTGAGCACTGAACCACATATTTATTTTAAATATTGCTTATTGAACCGTGAAGGTACGTTTTTTGAAAATTCAGATGAAATCAGCTCGATTCATCAATAAACTACTCTCTGCTCAAGGCAAGACTCACAACTGTGCGCAGTTCATTGTTTTATTTATCACAGCTCTCTGTTAAACTAGACTGTGATAACATCTGTGACTATGATAACACCATTAATGTCTGAAATAGCCACCCCCTACTCCCTGGTGTTATTAATTGAGTTCATAAGAGTCTAGTTGAAGAAGATGCCTAAATGCCACCAATCACTGGCTCCAGGGTGTGAATATGAACCTGTTCTGTAGCTTACACTGCATTAACACTCCTCCAACATCCCCAGCTCCACTGCTAATGCAGCACCCTCTCTGCCTGTCCACTGGATTTCAACTCCCTCATCCGTATGGGCAGGCAGGCGCCCTTCAAACCAGACGGGTCAAAGCCAGCATATGATTAAAGACTAAGGTGTCCCTCCACCTGAATACATTACACGCTCTTAAGCAACATCTTAAAGAGCCCCTCTGCCTTCACCGTGCAGCCAGGAGCCACAGAAACAGTGTAACTCTCACTTTGGAGTGACCCTCTTAGGTGTTTCATCAAACATTCATCCAGGTGTTTGTTTTGTTGTCGGAGGAGGTATCTCCTTGAAAACAAAAAAAAGACAGAAATGAATGCAGGGAAAAAATGAAGACGTTCAATGAAGGTAAATGTTGACAGGTTAGCTGAGCTTAATTATCCCTTCAACAAAGTTCACCTTGAAGAATGAGGACTCCTGGGGTTGTTTGCACCTGCAGCCATTAGGAACCAGGAAACTGCATGTGCCAGTGTGCTGATCATCAGGAATTTCCTCACATACTGGGGATACTGGTCAGGAGATTGTATTGTACAAAAGATTTAATGGTTTTCTTTTAGATAAAAGTACCCTGGATGTTGCTTTGGTACACATAAGTGTGCCTACACAAGTACATTCATGTCCATAGGTGTGTTGATTTTTCAACAGTGCTACCCTGTTATAACAGGAGATGGAGGTGCTTAAGTGGGAGACCCCATTATTTGTGGTAATTTAGTAACAAACCATGTTTCTGAAATGATTTACTGTGCAAAGCCCACGAGCCAAACAAATAGATGATATGCTGATGAGATTAAATAGAAACCCACTGAAAATTTAGCATACACCTTTATTTAATTTACATTGTCATCCTTTTCTAACGTATGTTGGAACCTATACAGTGAATTAAAGAACACGGAGCCCAAGGGCAAGGACTGTTGTAATGGTCCGTAATTATTTCTGTACTGTTATGGAATTTTTGTATTATCTGATTGGTTGAGTTTTTACTTTCAGAAAACAACGCGCACCAGGAGCACATGTTTGTGTTTCCTCAGTCCGCGGTCACAGAGAGGCTTGTTCCCAGAAAGGGTGGGGGCGACCTGGAGCTGGAGTCTGTTCCAGAACGACAGGGAACGAGACAGGACAACATCCTGGGCAAGACACACCTCCGCAACCGCGCAGGCACACACAAACACACGTGCGGACTGAACACACACACCCACACAATTTAGAGATGCCACTTAACCTAGCCGGCATGTCTCTGGTAGCCAGGAATGAACCAGAGAAAAATCTGTTGTGAGCCCTGGAAGGACAGGCTCCACGCAGATGGTGCTCCAGCCCGGGCTCGAACCCAGGACCCACGAGGTCTCAGCACTGATCACCTTGCTGCCGTGCCCGCCCTCAGTGCGCTCAAGTTTCAGGATGAATGCTTTCAAACTGTCAAAAGCACTGGTGTGGGTTTTTTTGTTTCACTTTCAGAGTTTCTTTTACCATTAAAAGACTCTGTTTAACGCCAAAAATTGATACCTTCCACTTGCTGTTTCGGGCTGACCAGAGGCTGAGAAGAGCTGTCTTGTACAGTATCATTTATTCATGGTGGTCACAGGTTAAAAAGTGCTTCGAAGTGGTGATTGAACACCCAAGTCTCCTGGATATATTTAATTTACAAATCTTAATGCATCGCAGCTGTGTTATCAGGTTTAATTGGCCACGAAGACATAATTTAAGTTGCCATGGACTCACAGGTTGAAATAAGTAAATGAACCTAAACTCTTGTAGTTAATTTTCTATCTCATAGATAGAAAGGCCGATGTTTAACTATGGTGTTCTGTACAGTAACACGCCCACTGGGAATGTGCAGTAATTCAACATCTCAAATAATCTTCAGTAATCTTAAATGTGAATACATGATTGGCGTTCATTAATAATTAGTAATCATACCAAATAATTATTACTATTACTATCACTTACGATGGTTTTTCATGTTCTGCAGAGAGTTCTGAAGATTCATGATATGTAGTTTTTTTTTCCAGCAAAACCAGAAACTTGGTGTTAAAGTTTGACAGAGACCCCATGCAGGCTATTAAATGAGGTTTATCCCCTGTTTTTGCTTCTGCAGACATCAGGTGCACAGGACAGAAGATTTCTTTAAGCCGCCTGTGCACTGTAGACTGTTCAAAGTGCTGTTCACGTTTTGCCTTTGCTCATTCTGCCAGCCATATTAAGTTGCCTTTTAACAGAGAAAGATTTCCTGTCTGCAGTGCTTTGTGCTGTCTATCTGGGATGTCATATTGCAAATGGGGAAATGGGAGCCCTGGCCTTACTGCATCGTAACCGATTCCCAACTGTAGGGAGGCAACAATTACCCTGCATTTCATAGCTCTTCCCAATTAAAGTACTGTCCTGTATCAACACTGTCGAGTGTCAGACAGTGAAGCAGTGCGGTATGTTACTGCCTTGGACCAAAGAGCTTTGTGGTGTTCCCTCCTGCATGAATATTTCAGAACCTGACTGTAGTGCAGACATTTCCTAATTTTCAGGTACAAAATGGCAGAGGATTTGTTAAGTTTAAAAGGAATGAGCACTGGAGTCCTGAAGGAATAAAAGAAAGTTCTGAGAGAGTAATTTGCTATTGATTGTCATAGGCCATGACCTAATAACTACCTCAACATTAGTCTGTCTCTGCTGGAGGTGCCACATGTAACCTGTCAACAATTGGGGGTTTTTTTTGCTACCACGACTAGTTTTTTTGGACCGTTGGAGTACAAAAAAAACCATCTTAGAGTTCTTTTTTGTTACTCTTGTGGTTTATAAAAAAAAAAACCCTGGAGCACTGGGCTGAAACCATGCTGTTGTGGCCATTACCCTGGCTTCTGTCAAGAAATGGCTGGAAGAGAATCTTGAATCAGTTCTCTAGATAGACACCATATTCTTCTCAAGTGTAGAAATGAGCCTACAAACCACCAACAAGCTAGAGGGTCACCTGAGTAACTGTTGTTGTATACTGTAGATTCTAATTCAGCTTTGTTCCAGGGTTCGGTGCCAGTCTATGGTCAGGGGATTGAGAAACCTGGCCTTAGATTAATGTTTAGCTCAGTTTATAGAGCACTCTCTTTATCTCTCTTCCTCTTCTGGCTGGCCTGTAACATGGTATGGAATGTGTAGTCAGAACTGGAAAAGACAGGGCTGAGCTAAGGTGTGTTTACACTCGCGATCAGAGGTGTAAGACATTTGCACCTGCTTTGCGGTCATGCAGCGCGCATGGGTTAAAAAGAAACGCAGAAGAAGTGGCGCGATGCAGATCGTAACTGCAGCAGTTTTGCAAGGTTGTTGTTTTTTATCTGTCACAAGCAGATGGTTACACAGCTAGAGGAAGGAAGCAGCAGCAGATCGATGGACAGAAACCACAACCCAGATTCCAGGAACCCTTGCTGGTGCTCATGTCAGTTTGCACAAGGGTTCTGCAGACCAGATGTAAGTGGCCTGATTAGCATAGGGCCAGACCATGACCGTTTGCAGAGCGGGGGGGGTGGGGGGTTGTGGTGTGTGTGTGGGGGGGGAGCGATTTGTCCCGAGATAATATAAACAAACACTAACACATACGCCTTAAGACTACACTTTCATTTCATGTTCAGGCTCTGTGTTTCACTCAAAGGAAGGAGTAGCGCTTTCCGTCACATGTTCATGCTAGTATGGTTTCCTCTTAAATGTTTAAATAGATAAAATGTGTTACTCTTTTGGAGGTGGTAGAATGTAAGCAACCCCCCCAAAAAAAAAGAGTCTGTTGCCATAGTAACCCCGAGCAATCGTCTAAGAATAACTAATTTAATGTTCTTAGACCTATAGAGTTTGAAGAGTGCAATTATTCAGGTCTTTCACAGTTTCCTCTTCAGCCAGGTCATCATCCCCTGTGCTAAGAAAAAGGATGTTGTAATTAGCCCAGAATGCACTGCAAACTGCAGCTCTTCAGCTCAGGGTTCCACTAAGTTTTAAGGCGGCTTCAATGCATCAAATGCAGTCAGGTAAGGAAGATGTCTGTCTTTACAGTTAGTAGTATTAAATGCTTGTATGTTTCTCTTTTTTAGATTTCAGCACTGTTAATTTGTATAATAAGACGTGCAGTTGAACACGCAGATTTGGAAAATAATTTTAAGTTACTCTTGATTTGTTTTAATAAATGCAGATGCTCTTTTCTCAGTTCATAGTATTGTGGTGTGAAATTGAAGATCCTTACTTTCTAAAGATGCTGCAACTGTTGATATAAAAGAGTATATTTTTCTTTTAATCCAGACATATTAGACCCACAATTTGGCAATTTTGAATTAAACACGATCTAACTAGATCTAATTGGAAATATACAGTTAATATGACTGTTTTTGTTGCAAATAACCTGAATTTAACTTTATGTAGCAAAGAAATACATTTTTATAGTTTTTATTTTATTCTTGATTGCGAAATGTATTTTTTATTTTAAAATTTTATTTTACAGTTAATCCTGTCCTGTTAACAAAAACAGTAACATACTTCTGAGATTGTGGTTTGTTATGCACTTACTTGTAATGAAATAATGTTTAATTTTTTTATTTACATTTGCCCCATCAATTTTTCAGGGTGATCTGAAAAGTTTTTTCTAATATGATTTGCTGTCAGTTCATTTTGGAAGTTGATATCAAGCTGTATTTTTAACTTCACGATTGTAAAAATAAGAACTTTAAAGAAAGAGCAGTTTGATTTTTCTTGTAGTTTTGTGTCTTTACAAAAGAATATTTGGAAATAGTCATGCTAAAGACCTGGGCATAACCTAAAAAGGGAAACATTGCTCATTGACCCAGGCTTGGTCGTTGAAGAAGTTGCGTCCTCATGCAGAATATACTGGTCATTTTGAGGTTTCAGTGTTTCCTGATGTGTGAAACAACTCTAACGACTGAGCAGTAAACACTGCGGAAGTGCTTTACATGCTAGTGCTGGCTGGGTGTGAGTTTATTACACAATATTATTATTATTGTATTATTAAAATTAAAAAAATAAATAAATGAGTTGCTGTTAGCAAAGAGAAAGGCCAAGACATGAAGATGAAAAAGTTTGCACTGTTTTTAGTGCTTCTCTGCAGTTTCTAGTTTCTTTAGACATACATATTACAGGTAATTGTCCTCTTAAAGGCTTCATGACTGCTAAACAAAATTCTTCTTTAAGTCCTTTAAAAGTCTTTTCTCAGAGTGTGTTAGGTTGTGTGTGGTGGTTGAATGAGAGAAGTTAGCTGAACATTAAGTGATGAATGTTGATTTATCAGGTTTGAATACTTACATAAACGTGTCTATGTGTATGGATACATTTAACATGGTCTTTGTTGTCTCACAACACAGAGCACAGCACTCCCAAACTTAATCTACCTTTTAAATAATAATGCAAAGTTTCCAGCCATGGATCGGTGTTCTCACTCAGTGTGATACAGCTAACTTTGACCAGTAACAACTTTTTTATAGGTCTATCTTGCTGGGAGCACATTTCATATTTAAGCTGTGTTTTAGGAGATGCTATGAATTATGGAACTGAATATTAACTTAGCTTGTCCTCACAGATAAATAATCTTAAAAATTCATTTGCACTAGCTAATATTATGTTAGCGGGGCTGTTTTTATTTCAGTCTTTATTGATCTAGGGAAATGTATAAAGATATTAAAAAGAAAATATATTTCAGTTGAGAGTTTTTCCATCAAATCAGTTTGTTGTCCTTGGTCGAACTCTTTTTGGTCTTGCAATTACCATCACTGATGGACAGTTTATTAATAAAGATTCTCATGTCTGCATGTGGCCCTAGGTGTGAATTCACAAGGGCATGGCAATCATTTACAGGCTCTTGGTAGATGTTAAGCCTATGAGGAAGGCGATGGACTTGTGGAGGCCTTTCATGCTGGTGAATTCCTCACAGGCGGGTAGCAGGGTCAGAGCGCATAGCTGCTCTGCTCCTGTGCTTGTTGTCCGTTATAATTCCATCTGCTCATACTTATACTTAGAAGTCTCTTAACCTTCTCAAATTAATATTTCTAGTGGTTCCACCTGTTTTATAGAAGGTTCCCTTGGGAAAAACAGTTAAATACTGTAGTGTCACTGACAAATCAGGCATTATAAATAGAAATGACTAAGCACCTTCAGAAACAGCGGCCATGATGAAACCCAGTGAGATGGAATAACGTGTTTTAGTTTGTCTTGGCCTGCTGAAAACAAATGCATCATGGGATAGGAACAAAACAGTTTAAACCCAGGGGAGAAAACGTTTTGCAGCGCCAACTTTGTCTGACAAATTGGGGCACAGCTTATTCCCATCGGTTGTCTGCTATTTTAATTTTGGTTAAGCTGTAAATTATATTATTTTTTAGATCGACCTGCAGATATTTCTTTCTGTGAATAATGACCATAAAAACATTATCAGCAAAAGATCGGTTAAGGTGCCTTTTTCTCTCTTTTGTGGTTGAGACGTTTTCCTCATCCTGTTTTACATTATTCAAAGTGCAAATGTTCGTTATTCTGAGGGCATTGTTGAAACCAAAATTAGCAACTGAAACCAAGGTGGCTGTGGCATATTCTCATTATTTTTTTCTTTTTCAGATTTCTACCATTAGTATTTACATTGTTATGTTTTATTTTTGAATATATAATGTTGATACATCTGTCTGTATGTCTGTTAGGGTTAGGACAGTGTCTTTTTAAAGTGATTTTGCCTCAAAAGGGTAGCATTGGCTAAGCTGTTATTTAAGAAAAATAATTTGCAAACAAGTGCAGAGTGTCATGGTGTATTTAAAATGGGGCTCTCTGATCTCTTTGTTTTGTGTTTCAGTATCTTCATATATAGGGTCAAAATAAGCTGAAAATACACACCAGAGATATTTTGATCATACTTGTTTTATTTAATATTAAATAATAAAAAACTTTTAAAATAACCTTTAAGGCAACAACAAAAAACAGAATCTGGAAAAGGTGAAAAAAGATTTTAGTGTTTTACTGGGTTATTTGCATACCTTTGTCTGGTATTTTTGTTATTTACAATAGGGGCATTCCACATCAGTTTCCAGTTTCAGTAGAAACTGAATCTGTATCTGTGTATACTAATTCTAGGTAGTCTATGAAGAAGCATTAAAAATGCATGCAACACATAGGCATAATTTGCAGGGCTACATCATGGTGAAATTGCTAATCTTCTACCAGATAAATTAATTTAACTTTTTTTAGTTTAATTAACTGAAACAAAATGTAAATAATCTAAGTGTTCAGGCTTCTCCTAATTTGTTTTAGAACAGATTATTGCTATTTGCGTGTGAGAAAATAGTTTAAAGGGAAAAAAAACATCTCCCATTCTGATCATTTTGGCTATTTTATTTAACAGACCCATGGAGGAGCGCACAGGTCTTTAACAAAGTCCTTATCAGACACCCAGTGCTAGCTGGTCTTGGTACTGTAGCAGTGCATCAATGAAGGGGGTGGCATTTCAACACCTCAGAAACAAAATGGAAAAATAAATCTTGTTGCAGTCAAATCTTGGAATGCGTTTTCGTCTGTGATGTTCCAAACAGATTAAACTCTCCTTAATCTGGAAATAATAGTATTTCTTTGTTTAACCAGATAAGCCAGTTGATAGCAAATTCTAATTTACAGTGAAATGTGCAGTCTTCCAGCATGAACACGTCTGTATGTTAAAGCAGTCTGTAGCCCCTAAATACAATGATTTAATTAAAAATCCACAGAGGTCAGAGTAGCTGCATGCCAGAATGTTATTTAGGACATAAAGTGTGCTTTAGGACTTCAGGTCTTTACACTTTGCTGTGCAGAGTTAGTGGATTTTGATCGTCCGTACTGACAGGTGTGTACTTGCAAATTTCCACAAGGACTAATAAGCACTTGTATTTCCCTGAATGTCTTTTGTGTTAAGTTGGAGGTTGTTGGCTGTGTCTTTAGGTAGTGTACACCAGTTCTGATTTTGGAGGTCTACAGTCCAGCAGGCTGTCTAGATCAGGGGTTCATGGGGTTTTCTGAAGACCCGCACACCCAGGTTGTATTTCAGCCAAGCTCTTGGTTATTAACTGAACCCTTAGTTGACTCAATAACAGGATTAATTTGACCTGCTTGACTGTTGTCAGCTCTTAAACACGTCGGGTGAGGGGGGGCTTTTAGCTATTGCATTTCATAAATGACAGAAAATGACAAAACTTCGAGTTTAACAAAAACTCCCATCATGCAACGCATCCATCTGCTGGAATGAAAAACTGCAGGTTTCTGTGCCTCCGGGACCGGGACTGGGGAACCCCTGCTCTCCTGTAGGACACCCTTAATTCATCGCTTCATAAAGAAGAGGAACGCACATGACCTTTGAGCAATTTAGTGAGTTCGTTGGTTTATTTAGGTAAGGAAATAAGAGTTCTCTGAGCCTTGCAGGCTACAAGGGATTTTTCTTTATATACATTATATTTTTATTTTTATGCTTATTATATCTCTGAAACAACTGAACTCATCGCCAGCTTCGGTGCTCAGAACAAAATAGCTTCCAGAGGTTTTGAAATTAATAGTTAAGGGATGATACGTAAGAACTGCTGGATTGTTGCTCTTCAGGTCCAGGGTTGACCTCCGGTGTTTATATACTTATCAGTATTACACATTGTAATTTAATTATCCATTAAAACAGGCAGAACCCCCTTGAAAGGAGTTCTTGAGCGCGATGGTGATGTCTGGCTAATAGTCAGAGCTGTGTTTGGATCTTGGATATGTTCTTAAGGGGTTTGTTGTGTAGGTGAGAGTATATTGCTTTTGCTCCATGTGTTGGTAAAGAGTTCAGTCCGTGAGCATATTCAATCACTGATCTGTGGACACTGCTGAGGCAAAGAGAGCTCTGCTCAGGTAGAGCATCACTGAGGTCCTAGACAGAGAGAACAGAGGTATGCAGTGGTTTAATTTTATACCTTTGTCTTCCTAAAATAATCTTTCCTAGAATAAAGTTGGCAAAAATGATTTTCTAACAGTTTTTTTCATTGGT